CATCAATTATTTAGGTTACATTGTTTTCATTTGCCTGGCAGAGTGTTTAAATGCGTAAATATTAAAGCTCCATGAATAAGTGATGGCATAAATATTTATGGAGTTTAAGGTAAATTCAAAACAGTTGTTAATAATTTCCTATTATGCTAATTAGTCAGTTGGTGCAAAAATTAAAACCCCCTCATCCCATCCTATCGCTCGTTAAATGTAATTCATAATTGGAACAAAAATCAAATCAATTTTATTTTCAATTGATTGCTGAAGTGATGTGGTTTACGTTGAGGGCTTCTGGTTCAACGATTTGTGACAAAATCATGGATAGTTTTAAAGATTGTTGAGAGCAGGGTATCGTATAGTCAAGTAGGTCTATCTATAATCAATAATTTAGTATTTATTTGTTCGAGACAACAGTATTTTCTTTAAAGTATGAGTACCAGTTATCGAATACTAAACATTTAAAAGTACAATGCTTTTTTGGAGGTTATATCAATAATTTTGTATCTACTTTTATCAAATTGGAGTAATTTTAGGCGATAGAAGTACCGGGTATCGTATATTTAATTCAATTTTAGTATTTATATATTCTTTTGGTATATATAAGCAGTTTAGTATTTATTTGCATCAAAAACCAAGACTTAAAAGAATGGATGAGTACCGCGTATCGTATGTTCAAGTCATTTTTAGTATTTGTACAGTATTTTATAGTATTTTTGGTATATATAAACAGATATAGATATTTCGTACTAATCATGTATTTATTTGTGACAAATAGCAGTAGTTTTATGAAAGAACAAGTACCGGGTATTGTATAATCCAGTCATTATTAGTTCTGGGAATTAGGCATTTATTTAGTATTTATTCGCGCCAAATAAAGGTAATATTCTAGCCATTATTGGTATTTTTACACTGTATTAGTATATTTCAACAATTTAGTATTATATTTTCGACAAAAATACAGTATTTTTATAAAAAGATGAGTACCGAGTATCGTATATTGAATTAATTTATAGTTCTTTAGATCTTCTGATAATTTATCGTTAGTTTAGTATTAATCTAGTATTATATTTCCAAAGTTTTGTGGAAGAATGAGTACCAGGTATTGTATATTCTAGTAATTATTAATATTTATACACTTTCTGGTAATCTATCGTGAACTTAATATTTATTTAGTATTTATTTTCCCCAAATAACAGTAATTTATTGCAAGGATGAGTACTGGCTATCATATATTCAATCCTTTATTAGTTTTTATCCATTTTTTGGGGAATATATCAATAATTTAGTATTAATATGCAATCGGTTCATTTTCGATTCGTTTTTATTGCCTCTGGTCGCATTCATTTTTGTGTCCTGGCCGTGATTGTCAGGACCCACTCCCATGTCCTTTGTCACACCCTTTGAATGTTTGCTTTCCCAACCGCACCCACACACCCAAACACACCCACATCCACACACACCAAACCAAACATCCCTGAACCGGCAATTTCACGTTTATATTTGGGCTGGGAATGGGACTGGGAATGGGCGTCCTCCGAATGCCAGTCCCGGCCATTGTCCTGTGTAGACATCCTGTGTGCTGCACTCTGTGTTCTACATAAATATGAAATTTATTAGTGAATGTTGCATATCCTTTTGTGCGTGTCAGTTCCGGCTTGGATTGCATTTCCCAGCCACTCGCAAAAAAACAAAAAATGAGAGCGAGGTCCTGCCAACATCATTATTGGGCATCGGCCAGTGGGCCGTGGTGACCCAAGTGGGTGGCGAAAACAATTTTTAAATAAAAGAGACAGTCACCCTGCAGATCCTCCTTTATGGCCATTTCGTTTGGCGGTCGTGGTGGCTGCGATTTTAATTTGTTAAATGCACTTTTTCGGAGAGAGAGTGTGGGGGCTACAGGGGGTTAAACTTAACCCCACAATGGCAGTATCACCTGCAGACTTGTTTAATTCAGTAATTGCCAGCTTAAATCCGAATCAGATAGCAGATATCTTTAAAATAGGGAGATATATGTGTATAATTTGAAGCGTATCCTTACAAGGATAATGTAATATCGATTATATTTATTTTTTAGGATATTTTGGAATGCGTTTTCGGGACAATTTATTCATTGCTTCTCGCAACTGGATTAACTTTCTGGCTTGCCAGAACGAACAAAGCTCAGCGGCGACATTCTATTGTTATCCTGGCGGAGACGAAACCCTTCTCATCCTTTTCCCCACGGCCCCCACACTGATACATACATATGTATGTGTACATGTAAGTTTGTGCAATTTTTTTTGGCATTTTTTTTTTTTTGGGAGAGCTTTTACGCTATTATTTGATTTTTATTTGGGGTTCGGGGTTCCATTTGCCCCTCGCCGCGCCACACACTTCATGAGTTATTGTCTCACGGACTGCGGCTTCAATGCGAACTAGGCCAGTGACAAAAGGCAGGGGCGCCACAAAGGGGGGCACGACTGGGACTGGGACTGAAACTGGGTGGGGGCTTCCAGCCAAAATGTCGCGCTGGCCACTTTTGGCAACTTTTCTCCATTCTGGCGTCATTTTTTTTTTCAAAGAGAGTCTCTAGAGAAAGAGACAGGCTATCAATGTAAGACAGAGACAGGGATAGGTAAACTGTCCAGCCAGCACCTTCTTCCAAGGATGTGCTTGAGGGCAGTGCGTTTCCTTAATGCGACAGTGTTTGGTCAAATGTCGAATTCCTTGACCATTTCAGAGACCATCCAAGTCCTTCTCTCAAGTCTGTGTGACTTCCGTTTAGCCACAAATACATATACATACAAACCACACACATATACATATGTATATGTTGTAGTTCCTGAAGCGTTGTGCCATTGACAATTATGACACGTACTTAAAGTTTGTCGACTTTGTCTCCGGGCGCTTCAAAGAAGACCTCCTCATTAGAAGCGCCATTGAATGAAAATTCCATAAATTTTCCATCCTGCCAGTTGGCCATCCAACCATCCTGGCTTAATCAAACCTGGCTTTTTTGGTTTTGTCAGCTTGTGTGAATTGATATCAAATGTGAAATAAATTCCAATAGGCCTCCTACCCCTCCACCCTCCCCTCACAGGACCAAGCCTGGCAACTGCAGAGCCTTTTTGAAAATTTCATTTCCGAGAAATCAGTTTTCGGTTGTAACATCCCCATGACAGTCTGTGTGTCTATTCGGGATGTATGTCCTTTTTTTTGCCAGACTCACTGTCAGATTTATTGTTTTCGATAATAACCGACATTTTTGGCATTAATCCGAGGGCTTGGCTCTCTCGAATAATTGACTTTTGATGGCGATTAGCGGGTGGTGTTGAACTAACCTTTGACTTGTCCAAATTCCAGCAATTTCAGGTGCAAATTACACAGCCCCCCCCCCCCTTCAGGAGCCATCAGTTTCAGTTGCAGCCTCTATCAAGGCTTGTATCAAGGATCCAGGCTCAGCTTGTGCCCAGTTTGTGAATGTTTACGTAATTCAAGATGGCAGCAAACCGACAAAGGCAAAGGTCTGGGCCAAGGACCAGAAAAAATGGCAAAAAACAGTAGCAGTAACTGTGTAGAGTGTAGTGCCAACTACAAATGTAATGGCAAATTTTTGAAATTAGTATGCAACACGCATAGCAACAAAGGAGAGGGACCAGGACCAGAACCAGAACCAGGACCAGGACTACAGTTACAGAGATGTATATGGAAATAGAGTTCGAGTTCGAGTTCTGGTTGCAGAGCCAGGGAAGTGGAGAAGAGAAAATGCTGGAAAAGCGGAAAAACTCCCCAATGCTTTCAACTCTTAACTATTATTGCATTTGCTTCGTTGTAGGAGAACATCAATAAGCGGCATATTTAAGCTGCTTGTTGGTTGGGTTTTAAGTAATTTTTATGGCAATGTTAAGTTTTATGGCTGCTGCAGAGGGGAGGGGTGGCCTTATTATGGTAGTGGAAAATGCGGCAAAAATTAAATAAAATGTTGCACACTTTGCCTTACTTTTATGCAAATATCCACATATTTATTTAAATTTTGTGCAAATTCTAATTGCAGCATGAAATCGGCTTTCATCTTTTACCTGCAACAGTGGTGCAACATTCATTTAAATGCAAAGTTTTGTAAAAATCCCAAAATAGTAAAACTACAGCCACACTTACTTAAAGGCTTAGGTCTTAAGCACTTATGGCCACACTTTGGAGAAAGAAAAAACGAAAGAAAAGCCGAAAAAAGCAAGTCATCAAGATGAGACTTTTGATTTGGCAGCCATTTTCTAGCCTGTTTTATGCTTCTTCTTTCTTTTTAACCAACTATGACATAATGCAACAACTTTGTAGAATATTCTGGTATCTTCTGGCCAAAAAGGAGTGCTTTATCTGCCACCCATCCAAGACCGCTCTGCACCTCAATCGCTGGCAGGGCCCTCCATTTTGCCGCTTACTTAGTTTCATTAAAACAACGTTGAGAAAGTTTTCGGGTGCCAAGGGTGCCCTCAAATGGCGGCAAGGAGGTTGAAAAAGAGAGGCCCGAGAGCCATACAAATGAGGCGCAAGAGCAGGCCGCCAGGAAACTCTTCCTGGAAACTCTTAAACTCTGAAACTGAAAAGTACTCCCCGTTGCAGTTTACAACTATTTTTAAAAATGCTTCTTTCTTTTCATTATTGTCTTTATTTTTGTTGTTCTTTGTGTCTCTTTTGTTGTTGTTGTTTTGTTTTTTTGTGTCCCCAACTTCCTTTGGCCCCTTCATTTTGTTTTTTTTTGTGAGTTTTGTGTGTATTTTATATCAATTGTTAGTGTTCTTTCAGTTTTTTCATGCTCCCTGCCCTGCTCCTGTCCCCGTCCATTGTCCGGAGAAAGTTGTGCAAGTTGTCGTCTAACTTATGGCATCTCATTTATCTTCGTAACTCTGGAAAGGGGAGCGGCGAGGACTCGGAGTCAAGCAGTTATTGCATTTTGTATTCTTTATCCTTACTCTTCTTCCATATCGGTCTTCGTCCTTTTTTTTGGTTTTTTTTTTTATGTGGGGGTGGGGTTGTGGGCTTGTGACTTATTTATGAGACACTTTGCCTCATTCGGACATCTCATCGCGATGCAGGAGACGCATGAAGGTTTCGAGATCACCGGCCCGGGCGGCCTCCAGCAGCTCACTATTGTTGGGATTGATCATCTCCACGACCGAGCCCATGACTCCTGCCTGGAAGCCGAAGAGAAAGGTTTCCATCGCCTCGTAGAAGTGCGGCGAGTGCAAGTTCTCGTCTATGATGCGGCACTGCTCGTTGGGCCACTCCGGATCGGTGGGATCGTCTTCCGGGTCGACCGGCAGATGGGCCATCAGTCTCTGGCGGTAGGAAGCCGAGGTCAGCAGCACATTGATGGCCGAATCCCACTCCAAGCGCAGGGCCTGGGCCAAGTCCAACTGCGGCATCGGCACATCCCCCTCCCCATACTGGTGCGTCTCCTCCCCGTACTGGTGCTGGACCTCCAGGAAGGGCGTCACATCGACTGGCGTCAAGTCCACAGGCGACTCACGGCCAAAGTATTCCGGCCAAATCAGCTCCGACTCCGGGGCATTGGCGAACGGGTTCTCCGCCAAGAGCACATCGTCGTCGGGAATATCGCAGCCGCCGCCACCGCGACTGCCGGCACTTGCCAGCTCCTCGGCATCGGTGCGGGGCTCCGATTCGGTGTCCACGTCCCCCTCGGCGGCAGCCGACTCGACCCGGCGACGATTGGCGCTGGAAATCAACGAGTTCACCTTCTTGCAAAAGATGGCGTCGTGCTCCGGAAACGGCTCCTGCATCCAGAAGAAGTAGCGTCGCACCAAGCCCACATGCTTGAGCACATAGACCCGCCCGGTCTTGCACTCCTCCACGCGGCGAAACTCCAGCGTCCCGGCATTGGCAATCACGTCCAGTTCGATCTCGCCCGAGTGACGGTCCATCCAGTGGAAGTGTATCTCGTTATCGGCCCAGCGGCGTAAGAATAGCAGGCCCTTGCGCTCGTCCGGTTGCACCGTCTTGCCCTGGAGCACCATTCGCCCGGCCCGGTATTCGATCAGGTTCTCCGACGAAGCCAGCGTGCTTGATTTTTCGTTCATGGTTTGTAGGTTAGAGTCGGTGGGATCTCTAGTGGGATCTGAGGATGTGGCACTGGGATGGGCTCGGAAGCTACCGGGGAATATGTCCAGGTGCTTATGTTTTATGATTTCACAATTTCCTGAACTAAGTACTTACAATTCAGCAGATCTTGTTGGAATTTGTGAGAAAAAGTGAGTTGGCTGGACAGCCTGCTTGTCGCCACGAGTAAAAGTTGGGAAAAAAAAGGCTGCTGTGAGGTCAAGTTCACAAAATTCTAAATGGCCTAAATAATGCAAAATGCCGCACTTTAATCGAAACCAGTGTGTACCCATTGTCCAATTTTGGCGAAAAGCCCTGATAATATATCAACGAGCTATAAAGATATGATTTTGAAACGAAATGGGAATGAAGAACGCAGGGCCCAAAAATGTATGCTATAATCTTTGTGGGCTGCCAGAGAGATCACAAGAGAGAGTTGTTTTTTGAGACAAAAAAAGAGAGAGTTTTGAAAGAGAAACAAAATAGAAATGGAGAACGCAAGGCCCGAAAATGTATGCTATGATCTTTGTGAGCCTTAAGAGAGATCGAGAGAGAAAGAGAGCCCTCAAGAAACTCCAATTGGAGTTCTGTTTTTGAGAAAGAGAAAGTTTTCGTCAAAAAAAAAAGCTCTTAATAAAATATTTCATTTAATCATAGTTATTCCCAAAAAAAAAATAAGAGAAAGAACAAAGCCCACACTTTTGACTAGTTTATGGGCTACTTCAGGCCGAGTCCAGCCCGGCTGGCCAGGCTGGCAATTGACCTTTAATTGCGCACTTAAAAGTACATAAAAACGTGGCCCGGATGCAGGACACAGGAGGACACGACCAGGCAGACAAGCAGGCAGGCGGGCCGGGGCGGGGGTCAGAGGTGAGCGCGACTCTCACCGTTCTCGGGGTCAACAGCGGCGTCAGCTAAGTCGAGGGCAATTAAAATTAAAGCGATGACTTAATGGTCGCACAATAAGCTACTCGCAACAGGCTTCCGGTTTTCCCTGTTTTTTTTTATTATTTTTAAACGGAGATGCGAAGCAATTAACACTTTAAAATAGTGACAACTAAAATCACTTTTGAGATTTTGAGAATATTTTGGGGAATATTTTCGTTTAATTTAATTGGTTTAGAATCAATATGAGAGTAGCTTGATTTGTTTTCGTTCAATTAAAGGTGATTCGATTTGATTGGATGGATGTCTGTCGGCTGCTGAATTATTCAGCTGGATTTTTGGATTCAATTGAAATTGAAAACATGATGCGGACACATCTTTTAGTTGGGTTACACCTTACCCACACACAGACACACACATACACATACAGAGAAGGACACACATCCTGATCCTTTTTCAATGGACTTGTGGCGATATATGTAAGCTACAAGTGTACTGCTATATATACAAGTACCAGAAAGGTGGTATATGAGCCACCTGTGCGTTTTAATGACGAAAGAAAAAGCAGAAGGCGACTCTTGGTCCTTGGTCCTTGGTCCTGCCCGCTTTCTCTGCCCGCCTGTCGTCTCATGAAACGTTCGAAAGCAATTACAATTTAAGTATTTAATTAGGGAATTACGTGAGCAAACACCCACACCTGCCCACACCTGCCCACACCTGCACACATCCACCCACACCCACCCACACGTGGAGAGGTCAAATAAATGAAAGACGGAGTGAATAAGGACACAAGAAATGTGAAGAAAAAAGGGAAACCCCGTGTATGAAATAAAATAAAAATAAAAGGAGCGTAACGAAGTTGCCCCAATCGAGGCACACAAACACATACATACATACATACCTGTCCACATGCCACCTGCCACCTGCTTCAGCTCCTGCTCCTGCTCCTGCCCCCCATAACTGCCAATAAAAATGAAGCCAATTGCTGTTGCTTCAACAAAAATAAGCAAGAAAGCGAGAAAAACGGCAAGGTACAAGTCGCATTTGAAGCAACTACAAAACAATTTGTAGTTTACGCTTTACGCGTTCTCCACAGCTCGTCCGTAACGAGAGCCCAGGCCGAGTCTCCTCCATGGAGTGGAGTGGAGTGGAGTGGAGCGGAGAAGGGAGCAAAAGTCGAAGGATAAGCGTGTCCTGGCATCCGGCTGACTTGGCATACTTCCCACTCTCCGCCTCCCACAGCCACCTCTTGACACCCGCAGCCAAGCAAATAGTAAATAAAATCAAGAACTATAAAAAAAAAAGAAAAAAATGAGCGGGAGGACAGGACATTTTGGCAGGAGATAGTTTGCTGTTTTTCGACTAAAAGATACCCGGTACTTATGAGATACTACTCTGGTACCAGTCTTTGTTTTTGGCATATCAGGCCTTATAGCTTTTATTTGCTGCTATGATACCCGGTACTTCTCAAGAGGTTCTTAACTTTCCATAAAAAAAGAGGTATGATAGCCGGTACTTATGAAATATCACTTAGGGATATTACTTCACTTTTTTTCATGAAATATTTAGGGATTTCAGGCCTTGTGGAATATCTTACCTATATGATATACAGCAGTTCTGTATAGTTTATTAAAAAAATAGCGATTTGATACCCGGTACTTCTTAGACTTCTTTTATAAGTCATATTCTTAAAAAGTTCCATAGAAATTTTAATATTTTTCATACCACAAACCACAAAGCATATCTTACCTATGGATACCCCGTACTTCTCTGAAATTTAAAAATGCCTAAAAAGCTATCTAATACCCAGTACTTTACTGACTTCTTTTATAAAGCACATGGCCATGAAGATACTTAAATATCTAAGACCTAATAGCTGTGTAATATCCGGTACTTCTTTAGAGTTTTATAACTTTTCATAAAAAAAAGCGATAAAATACCCGATACTTCTTAAACTTCTTTTCAGTCTTAATAAACTCAACTCTAATAGATACTACACCCTTTCTTTGGTGAATAATACCCGGTACTTCTATGAATTTTTATAAAATCCCAAAAAAGATTCCCAATACCCTGTACTTCTTAGACTTCTTTCATAAACCAGAGTGGCATCCAATAAATTTGATTAATTCAGACCTCATAGCTATGCAATACCCGCTACTTCTCTCAGATCTTACTCATACTTTCTCGTAAAAGAAAGAATTACACCTCCTTTTATGAAACATAAAACCCCGACTATTTAAATATTAAAACCTCTAACTTTCGTCAATAGAATTCCCCTTGAAAAGCATATGCCCAGTGCTACCTCCAACAATGAGAAAGAAACGCACAAAAAATTACAAGCGTTGTGTTGACAAATGCCTTAACTCGAGCCGCCACGCCCCCTGCCCTGCCCTGCCCTGTCCTGCCCTGCCCTCACATTTCTACTTCTACTATCCCCCCAGCGGCAATTTTCCTTCATTTTCAGTTTCATTTTTATGGCTACGCTTTTCGCTTTTCCACAGCCATGCATATTTTTTTGTGTGTGCCTTTCGCTTTTGGCGGGTATCAATAAATTGACAAAAAAAAAAGGAAAGAAAAATAAAATTAAAAGGGGTGGTGGGTGGATCAGGTAGTAGCCCATATATAGTAAAGTTTATGTAGAGTTGTGGCACATAATGTGTACCCATCACCCACCCACCATGCAGATGGGTGGCGACAGTTGTAAATGAAATTATCGCCTTTTGACTTTCAACCGTCAGTCAACGTGGAATATTTTTTTCGCTTTTCTCTTCAATTTATTCTCCGCAAATATACGCATGTGTGTGTTTAAGGACGAGTGTGTGTGGCCAGTAGTATTTGCACAGCATTAATAAAGTGTGGCCCGTAAATATTATACGAGAGATGAGGTAATCATTCCACAAGGATCGCCACACTGAAATGACTTTGTAATTTTCACGCAAAAATCTGGATGCGGATGGAAAATATTGTGAAAATGACGTCGGTGACATTTATGGTTTGCATTTAAATTGGTTAATAAACAAAAAGGGCCCGGTTTCAAGACGATAATAATGAAAGTCCTTAATGCCCGGCTGCTTATCGTTTTAATTAACAAATTTAATTAATTAAATATTCTCTTGCAGTTACACACACAAATGCAGAGGAAACTAGAAACGATACAAAAACATGATTAGTCCTTTGGCAGTCCTTTGACAATAAATTATTGAATTAGGTTTATTGGTCGCATTCGTATTGTATTTTCGGGTTAATGAAGATGAATATGAAATGAGTTAATTAATTGAAATTTTGTCCAGTCACAGCGGAAGTTCAATGAACCCTCCAGCTCACTCTCTCTCTGTTTTCTTTTTTTTTTTTAGTCTTCCAGTTGCGTCATTAATTCATAAGCATGAACTTCATTTCATTTTAGGTTGCTTTTTTTTGCTTTTTTTTATTTTTTCGCCCCGGGAGTCCTTGTTTGCCTTGCATGTGTCTGTGTATCTCGGTGTATCTGTGTGGGTGTGTGTTTAGTGTCAGTCAGGCCAATTAAACGACTGAAACGAGGAGTCAACTTGAAATTAACACACACACACACACCCACACACCTCTACGCAAGTTTATGAATCTCAAAAATGCGACGCCCCCCCCCCAACATCCTGCCTGCCCATCCTGCCACCCTAAACTAATTTCCCCCATCCTCTAACACGATATAGGCACGCACACCGTCACGCCACAAAAGTTAGTGTTCCTGTTGCTCGTTTTTCAGACCAAAAATATCCACTAAACTGGCAAGAGTTTTATTCAAAACGAATTTGTAGATACTCTATAGTATATTACTTAATATCAAAAATATATTATATATTTTTAAGGATTTTCTTAAGGTGTATCCTTGCCCACACACACTCATGATTGGTGGCAGGTTTTGTTAATTTACGTACTCTCTGGTCCCGTTCCTTTATCCTATTATTTGTGTGTTTTTTTGTTGTTTTCCCTTTTACTGGCACTTTACCGCTATGCCTCTTATCCTTCCGCTCCTTTTTAGCATGGAGTGGCTGTTGGCCAAACTGACAGGTGAACTCAGGGGCGTCGAGGGGCCAGATACTCCCTTAACCTTTTTTGTTTTTTCTAACTCGACACCAAAAAAA